AATTTTATATTGTTCAAAAATAATAATGAAAGAACGTATTAAAAAAATTGAGATGAAATTCTTATCTATCAAATGTCAGTATCCTCGAATTTTAACAGCCTTTCATTTATAGAGTTTAAATAAATTAGCACTTAGATTTGAATGTTCTGCAATAAATTGTGCTCTTAATGGCAACAGCAAATAAACATTCCTTAGTGTTTTGAATACCAAAGTGATTTACCTGCACATGTTTTGGAGTTTAGACTCAGTAAAGTTCAGGGGCATCCATGTATGAAATAGCTTGAGAGGAAATTCCCATCGCTTTCTTCATTTGATTTAGTTTGGGAAAAGGACATGAGTTCAGAAAAATAGATCATCATCTTTAGTAATTTGGGTTCAGATATAGACGTTAAATATTGTACATAGACTAGTGAATGTGTATATAATTTTCTCAAAGCTTATAAAAAAGGAGTTGGCATTATAAAATACATTAGTTTCTGTTGACTATCTCATTTGCATTTTTATATGTTTTATTATGTAGACTTGCTTATGGGAAGCATTGTTAGAGATGTCAAATGTAAAAAAAATGAAAGCAAAATGTTTTTAAAAATGAGGAATTACGTGTTTAGGTATTTTATAAAAACTATAAAAAAGAGGGTATCAATTCCTGAGAGCGATGCAGTTAATTAAAGTGTCCTAGTAGAAAGAAAATTTAAATCTAAGGGAAATAGTACACATTTTGGTGCACTAATTATTTCTTTTTTTACTCTATTTTTACCAAGTAAAACATGTGCCCAGTTAAGTCAACTATGTTCAGAGATTTGTGATTCTGGGTGGTATTCTTGTCACGGCCCCGCTACCCCCCAACTTTCAGGAAAGGTCCTTTATCCCAGAGGCCACTCTAACCTTCCAGTTCAATCCCCATGCTGAGCATCCTGGGCTTAGGAAAGAAGAACAGGATAGAATTTCATTGGTCTGCTCTCCTTTTTCTTTTCTTTTCTTTTCTTTTCTTTTCTTTTCTTTTCTTTTCTTTTCTTTTCTTTTCTTTTCTTATTTATGGAGAGTGAAAGAGAGAGGGAAAGACAGAGAGAAACATTGATGTGAAACCAACACCTCGATTGGTTGCCTCTTGCACAAATCCTGACCAGGGCCGTGGCCTGGAAGGAGCCTGCAAACAAGGTATGTGCCCTTGACCTGAATCAAACCTGGGACTCTTTGGTCTGCAGGCCAGTGGTTGATCTACTGAGCCAAACAGTCTAGGGCTTGTTTTCTCTTTTTAAGTCTGGGATGCTACCCCATCTGGGGGACATTGATCATGATTTGGGGTCACTGCTGTTTCCTGGTATTCCTGCAGAAGCCCTTTGGTAGATGTTTATTATCCTCCAAGTTCTGAGGATAAGGCAGGAAATGAATGGCTCGGCCAGCTTAAAACTAGAAGCTTTCCCAACAAATGATTTTAAAATACGGGTCTATACACCTTTCACAAAAGAGGATTTTGAAAATAATAGTGATGTTTCTAAACACAGAACACCCAGAACAATTTTATTCACTCTCAAATGAATGTGGGAGAGGGTGGATGTAACACAGAGGGCCAGGGTCCTGCCCCCAGGAGGCTGACCATCCAGTGAGGGGGCTCACACTGGGAGTCCCTGATGCAAAACAGACGCTGGACCAGGGCTGGGAGGAGCGTGATTGTGAGCAGATGCTCAGTGCAGGGAGCTGGCATTCCCATCAAAGCTGAAGGCTTTCCCGGAAGAGGTAGTCTGTTTATGTGTGACAATGTTTGGGGAGGATTTCCACCTCCTAAGAGCTTAATAACTTTTTTTAAAAAAAATTTTTAAATTGATTCTTAGAAAGAGAGGAAAGGAGAGGGAGATGGAGAGAAACATCAATGTGGGAGTGAAATGTTGCCTCTCATACCCACCGGGACCCAGCAGAATCACACCAGCAACCTCTCAGGCACATGGGATAATGCCCCCAGGCAGTTGAGCCACACCGGCCAGGGCAAGAGCTTGCTAATGTTTTGCTAAATATAATTCATGCCGCTCAGCCTCGGTGGCTGGCCAGTTTTTCTTTCCCCTCTGTTCCTGGTAAATGTTCTTTTGTTCAACGCAATGTATCAGCAGTCGTCAGTCTCACTTACTCTTGTCTCTGTTTCCCTGAGCGGAATTAACAAAAGCCTCTCTCTGTGGCGACAAGGCACCACCAGTCAATGACAGTCACTGATCTATCTTGTGAATTAAAAAAAGAAAAATCCTCCCCGTGAGAATTTCATCCTGTTAATGAGGCATGTATATTACTAGGAATTACAAATATCGGGTAATAAAGCTTCAAGTTCACACATTCCCAGATGTTATTTTGGGGCCACTGGAGTAGTGATTTTTTTTTATTTAATTTTTTCAAAAACGTCAGCAGTAATTAGAAATCTTTCATAATTTCTTTCAGAAGCAGCGTTTGATTTTAATTCTTTCACTTAAAAAAAAAAACTTGTGTCAGAACTATTGACATTTTTATAGCTTGACAAAAATTAAGCATAATTAAAATGAAATATTTGTTGCATAAATTAAGTTGCAATTAATATGTTTTCTGCCTCTGCTTGAAGGATAAGATTAAAACGGTGTTGTTAGCAGACTCCCCGCCGCGAGACTAATTTCTTGATTTTTATACCAAACATCATCATACATGTTTCACAGTGAGAGAATAAACCAACAAGTAGAAAACAATATTTGATGAAAATGATAGGCTACAGAAGGAGACGCACTGACTTTTATGAAGGCAAGGCAATATAACTGTTTATTTTAAAGTTTAATGACTAGTTGATTCCCAGGGTAAGATTTGCACTTTCAAAGCCATTAAAATAAGTAGAAAATTGCCCTTCGTTTTAGTTTGCTATTCCTTTTTTTTTTTTAAAAAAAATGTTCTTATTGACTTTAGTGAGAGATGAAGGAAGAGAGAGAGAGAGAGTGAGAGAGAAATATTGATGAGAGAGAAACACCAATTGGCTGACTTTTGCACTTCCCCTACTGGGGATCAAACTCGAAACCCAGGCATGTGCCCTGACCAGGAATTGAACCAGTGACCTCCTGGTGCATGAAATAATGCTCAAGCAACTGAACCACACTGGCCGGGCCACCTACGCCTTTTAAATGACCCGGTGTATTGTGTCACAGTGTTTGCTTCTTTGGGAAGTAATTAGAAAGTGAATAAGACGTGGTATGCTAAGGCTCTCAGCTCACCAAGAAGTTATCATAAATCCCACTCCCCCCAAATCTCATATGTAGACAAGGTCAGGAAAAGTGGAGGGAAGACGTAGTCTCTCAGTGCTTCAAAAGTTAGTCGTTGACGCCAAAACCGGTTTGGCTCAGTGGATAGAGCATCAGCCTGCAGATTGAAGGGTCCCAGATTGGATTCCAGTTAGGGGCATGTACCCTGGTTGCCGGCACATCCCCAGTAGGGGGTGTGCAGGAGGCAGCTGATCGATGTTTCTTTCTCATCGATGTTTCTAACTATCTCCCTTCCTCTCTGTGGGAAATCAATAAAATATATTTTATTTTTTTAAAAAGTTAGTCATTGTCTTGGAAAGAAAAATCCCCCAGTTGCCACTTACCCAGGCAATGCATTAGTTCTAAGGTGAATTTTTTTCTAGCTAATTACTTTTTTGTTGTTGCTAATCTTCACCCGAAGTTTTTTGTTTGTTTGTTTGTTTGTTTGTTTTAGAGAGAGTGGAAATGAGGGAGGAGGGAGAGAGGGAGAAAGAGAGAGAGAGACAGACATGGATTGGTTGCCTCCCACACACACCCTGACCTGGGCCAGGGATTGACTCTGCAACCCAGGTATGTGACCTTGACCAGCAATCGGACCAACAACCCTTCAGTGAGCAGGCCCGTGCTCTAACCACTAAGCAACACTGGCAGGGGTGGGCATTTCCATCTTCTAGATGACGAAACAAGAGAGAGTTAGGAAGTGCTTTCCAGAGGAAGCTTCGTTTTCTGGAACAGTATCATTTCTTCCTTGTTCGCTAGAATTCACTAGAAAGAATCAAAGCCTATTCGGAAAGGTTATTAATTACTGAGTTGATTTTTTAAATAGATATAGGCCTATTCAGATTATGTGTTTCTCATGGTGTGAGTTTTGGTGGGCTGTCTTCTAAGTGGTCAGTCCAGTTTACCTTAGTTATCAAACGTCCACTGTTCCTTCTTTACTTAGCCTTTTAGTTAAAGTGCACGGCACCAGTAGTGACCACCCATCTCTCTTAGTAACTGTGACTAATTTGTGACTTCTCTCTTTTTTCTCACTTAGCCTGGCTAGGTGTTTATCGATTTTACTGATCTTTTCAAAGAATCAGCTTTTGGTTTTGTTGATTTTCGCTCCTCTCTGTTTCAGTTTCATGACTTCTGCTCTGATTGGGTTCTGGCTTTCTTTTTCTGCTCACTGTTTCCTAGTTTCCTAAAGTGGAAGCTTAGATCATTGACTTTAGGTCTTCCTTCTTTTCTACTAGATGCATTCGATGCTTTTAAAGCATATACAGTTGGAATATATCTCTATCCAAAGTAAATGTAAAAAATAAAAGTTGAAATGTACATTTATTTAACCATGTTTTTTATTGAATTCATTGGGGTGACATTGGTTAATAAAATGATGCAGGTTTCAGGTATAGAATTCTATAATACATCATCTGTATATTGTATTGTGTTCACCACCTACATTAAGTCTCCTTCCATCACCATTTATTCTCCCTTTTATCTTCCCCTCCCCTTTCCTCTGGCAGTTATCATACTGTTGTCTCTATCCACAAAATGTACATTTTTAAAATGAGTTATTTTATATATTAAAATAAAACTAAACATAATTAATAAATATAAACAGGTTAAACAAAGATCATTTAAATAAAACTAATCTTTTCTTTTTTGAAAATTAGTCATTATTATGTATATTTAAAGCCAATAATAATAATAAAAATAATAATATTAATACAAAGTCAGTAAGAGCTCTGTGGTAATATTTGCTCTTTTTTATTCTAGGATTTCCAAACTATATTACCATCATTCGGTCTCTTCTCCAGTTATGGAAAGTTATATTCAAAAGCTGGACATATTTTATAAAGGTATGCATTTTTTTGCCAAGTATTTTAAGTAACTGAACCATCAAGCATTTAAAAAGCTATGCTACGATAATATTAATGCATAACAAAACCAGACACGTTTTAATTCTAGTGTAATGGGTTTTTAACATAAAAAATCTTTGGTTTCATTTTTCAAATCTCCAAAGTGGACTAAAAACACGTTAAGAACTAGAGCTTACAAAAATCAGAAGTACATTTACTTCATGTTAATTAATACAATAAATAATAGTTTTACACTATCTGGTGATAAAGCACTGATAATGTTCCAAAACCAAAACAGTGTCTCAATACTGTATTGATACAGTTAGTTTAATAGACTATATTCAATATGTGTGCTTCTTGAGCTACTAGGTGTCTTTATGGAATCCCAAGTAAATAGTGTCTGGGGTCTCTGATTATCCCTGTTTACAGTGCAGAGAAGAACAAAGACCTACATAACATTCGGGTTCACAGAAATAGCTCTCAATGTGTACTGCATTCACTGGCTAAGGTGTATAAAAATAGAGCCATGAGTACAATCAAAGCGAGACTTATAGGAAGTAATCTGGCATTTTCATCCAAATTAAAGGAGGTATTGGATGAAGACAGCACAGATCACCAGTTGAAGGAGAAGAGGGAAGAGGCAGGAATGAGAAATCATGCGAGTTGGAATTCCCCCGGTGCCCTCCCACCCACAGGGCCACGGGAGAGCTGGTCTGCTGGGGAAGGCAGAGCAGAAAATTTCCCTTTATTTCAGTTACTATTCTTTTAAACTTTTTTCTTATGCTTTCATGAAGCAACTTATTTCCTTTCATTCAGCATCAGTGTTGCCTGTCCCCACTTATAACTCGGGATGCTTCCATGTGGAAGTCAGTGCGTTCAACACATATACCACTACCTCTACCTTTTAATGACCTCAAAGGAAAAACGCAAAGAGAAATAAGACATATTCATCTATATTGCCTCATGGAATTTCAGTTCCAAAGGTTTATAAAGTATCACTACCGTTAAAACAATTGTCTGGTTTTTCTAACTCACAGTATAAAGCAGTCTATAAGTGAAACCTATTCTATCTGTGTGTGACTTAGCTTTTCATTCAAAGGTATATTCTGTTTGTAGTGGTGAAAGGTTGAAAACAAGTTGAACACTGGATAATATGTGCTAAGTTAAATAAATGATGAGACATAGATCCTTACCTGATAATTTTTGGGGGGAAGCCTTAATATTTGCATTTTCAAAGCCATTAAATAAGTAGAAAATTGCCCTTCGTTTTAATTAGCTATTCCTTAAAAATAAAAAAGTTCTTACGCTTTTATGAAAAATACACTTATTCAATACAATATTTGTATGCATTTGTACATTGCAAAAATGTGTAGGATTGATATTTAAGATTGTAGATGTGTAAGACAAAATACTCCAGTAGGAATTCCTTGCTCTTCTCTACCAGTTACAAAAGCAGCTTGATTTTATTGAATCATGATAATTTAGAGAAAATTATTTTTAAGATTAAATAAGTACTTGCTACATTATTTATAAGAAAGAAGGATGAGCAACAAATATTTAGAGTTACTTTTAATTACACGGAGCAAATATAAATAGGTGATAGTTTTTAAACAAACAATGCCTGGTCAGTCTGCTCTTGGATTTTCAACTATTCTGTGAATCGGAGATATTATCCAAATGACACCTCCTCTCAGAATGGAAATGAATGTGTTTAATTTGGTAAGTGGACAGGGGCTGCCCCAGCTAAACTCTCCCCTTAAGCTTGCATTTCACCAAATCTGACAGAGTGCTTCCGCTCTGTGTGGAGAAGGCCAATTCGGGGACACTTGCCCCAAAGTGTTTACTGGAGATGCCGGAGGAATTCTTAGAGCTATCTGCTTGATTGCTTTGGCTTCAAGGCAGTTCATCACTTGACTGTAACTCACCCGACATTGCCTCTCCCAGCCATCCTGCTCTTGCCCATCAGTCCGATTAGAAACGGTGGTGCCTTTATCAGATTAATCTTTCTCCCCTTCAGCGTGTCTGCGTTTAGGATAAAACCGTGCCTACCCCAACCCACTTCAATTAATCCACTAAGATTTGAGCCACCAAAATGGCTCAGAATGAATTGGATTTTAAACACTCACAGAGGGCAGGGTGTTCCCTCAAAAATGGATGCACAGTTTGAATAATGAAAAAGGCAGTGCTTATTCAAATACTTTTCATTTTCAAAATGTAATAGAATCTACATAATATGTATACATTTTTTTGGGGGGGACACTGTATATTTTAAAATGTACTCTCTGACTAGGATATTCTGACTCCTTTTATTTTTTATTTTTTTAAATTTTTCTTTATAAACTGCTCAGTTGGGTAATGGTGGATAATTTCCCAGAAATCCACTGGGTCTGAATCAGAAAGGACTGCCTCCTTCCATCCATCTGAACATTTGTTGGTATTTCTAACACAGTATAAAGCTGTCTAAGTGAGATCTATTCTATCTGTGTGTAATTTAGCTTTTCATTCAAAGGTATATTCTGTTTGTAGTGGTGAAAGGTTGAAAGCAAATTGACCACTGGATAATATATGCTAAGTTAAAGAAATGATGAGACATAGATCCTTACCTGATAATTTTGGGGGGGAAAGTCTTGATATTTGCAGTTTTCAAGCCATTAAAATAAGTAGAAAATTCCCCTTTATTTTAGTTACTATTCTTTTAAACTTTTTTCTTATGCTTTCATGAAAAACATACTTGCAAGTACTTCTGGGTTGCATATATTTGTATACATTTGTACATTGCGGAAATGTTAAAGGTAGTTATCTCTGGGTAGGATTGGTATCTGAGATTGTAGATACCTTTTTGGGGGCATTGCTTTCTTTAGCTGCATTCATCTTTCCAGGCTGAGTGGAGAAAGTCAGCAGCGGGATGGGGGGAGAGGGTGCAGAGGAGACCATTGGCCAATGGGCATTGCATTGTGTGCACCGAATCTCCTTGAGTTGTGTGCGTCTCAGCTGTCTCAAGTTCTTGTCCGCAATGTGCTTCAGTCCGGGTCCTCTTTCTGCTGAAAGGCCTGATTCCATTTGGAGGCCCAGTGAGATGAGTTTCGATGAAATTACCTGTTGTGCATGGAAACCCGGGTCCTGTCTTCCTCCCTCACAGGGATTTGGCATCTGAATGACTGGAATGGCTGGGGAAAAGGAAAGTGAAAAATGAGTCTGGTTAGCACCTGCATTGGGACAGGGATGACATTTGTCTTTTTCTTTTATTTTAAGAGGAAATATGGTCTTAGCAGCTGTGTAAGGAGAGAAATAAGCAATATACACTGAGTGGCCAGATTATTAGGATCTCTGAACGCATAATAATCTGGCCACTCAGTGTGTGTGTGTGTGTGTGTGTATTAGTGTTTGAGGTCTGGTGCATGAATTCATGCATGTGTGGGGGCTGGCCTCCTGCTGGTCGAACTCCTGGTCAAGGGGACAATTTGCATATTAGCCTTTTATTATATAGGATATACACTGAATGGCCAGATTATTATGCGTTCAGCAATCATCATAATCTGGCCACTCAATGTATGTGCTCATCAGGGATCCAACCTCTAATTCAACAAGAAAACTTGTTAACCTGTTGGCATCCAGTCTGGCACTGTGTGAATGTATAACCCCTTTCAATTTCATCAGAGTAAATCTGCAAAAATAAGACAAAACAAAAGTAGAAATATCTTTAGTATCTTCCTCTTGGTGAAGGTGTTCTCTGGATAAAGACGCTGTAATTGCCCCCAGCCGTGCAGGAGGCAATTTTTCTCCATGGCTGGGGCAGGTTGGCCCAGTGCCATGTGTGTCTGAGCTCACTCCTCTTTGTTTAGCAGGATCTGCAGGTGCAGACAGAGGTCAGAGATCAGGGTGGATGCAGCAAGGCTAGCAATGGGGCAGCTCAGGGTGCGGCCCCCAGACCTCCTGCTGAGCAGACTCTGAGTGAGGAGGATTTGTGTAGAGAATTTGAGAACTGTGTGTCATTGGCTTTTTCCCTTTTTTCACCTCAGTGTGCTGTTTTTAGAAAATACCTTCTCTCACTTTACTGTTTTGTTTTTAGACAATAAAAGAAGACAAAATGTAAACATGAGGTTCAGGTGTGAAGTGATTGTGGAGTAGAAGACGTCACTGCCTGGCTGAGTCACCTGGACACATTGTGTCAGCCTTTGAAGTCTCTCTCTCTCTCTCTCTCTCTCTCTCTCTCTCTCTCTCTCTCTCTCTCTCTCTCCCTTTCTCTCTTCCTCCCCCCTCCCTCCCTCCCTCCCTCTTTCTCATTTGTTCAAAGAAGAAATGGGAACCCTCTAGGTCATTCAAAAACTCTCCAGTTCTAAAAGGAACATACACATGAGGATCCTACAGAAACCACAACATAAACCACGCTTCTTATGATTCAATAAACTATAGTATTTTATAGATGATTAGTTTCATGCAGTGTGTGGACAGTTGAGTTGGATTTTTTTGCTTCTGAGAATATCTGTCACAGCCACAGCCCCTGGTGACCAAAAGTGCCATAAAAATGGTCCCCCAACGAGGCCATCTTGGTCGAGAATCATTGTTCGGCTACCTCTTACACACCTCCTACTGGGGATCCAGCCCACAACCCTTGACCAGAATCAAACCCGGAACCCTTCAGTCCACAAGCCAGCTCTCTATCCACTGAGCCACACCGTTTGAGGCATTGGACTCAGGTCCAGCAAGTGGTCAGCTCAGGGGGTTAACTGTTGTGTCTGAATGACGTCCCTGGTGGTGGTTGGTCAAAGTCCAGAGGCCACACCTTTGGCAGGAAACCAGAACTATACCCACTCCAGCCTTTTAGTGAGTAATTCCATCCTGTGACTCAGATCAGGGTGGTGATGGTCTCTTTTACTGTATTTTATAAGGCCCAGCAGAGCTAGCCCATCTCCTTGCACCATTGTTATGAAGATTGAAAGTCAGTATTTTTCATTGAAGGGAACAATTTCATTCTTGCCAGGCAGAGCAACGGTCAACCACACAAAACAACTTCAAGAAAGGAAACAGGAAATCTCATTTGGGGGTGAAGAAACAAGTATTTCAAAGTGTATATGATTGGGTCTAAGTAAATGCACCAGGCCTCTAGTGCATTTTATAAAACCTTAGCCTGTATATAATAAAAAAAATGTAGAGTGTAATGAAAACATTTGAAATACTGCAACAAAAATTACACCTGGAAATTCTGTGTTCTCATATCCTTACTACCATCCTCTCTCCAGCCAGTGGCTGATGAGACCAAACACATCCCTCCTTTTAAAGAAAAATAAGTGGATCCCAGCCGGTGTGGCTTAGTGGTTGGGTGTCTACCTATGAACCAGAAGATCATGGTTCGATTCCCAGTCAGGGTACATGCTCAGTTTGTGGGATCAATCCCCAGTTGGGGGCATATAGGAGGCAGCTAGCTGATCACTGATTCTCTCTCATCATTGATATTTCTCTCTCTCTCTCTCTCTCTCTCTCTCTCTCTCTCTCTCTCTCTCCTCCCCCCCCGCCCGCTCCCTTCTCCCTTCCTCTCTGAAATCAATAAAAATATATTAAGAAAAATAAGTGGAAATAAAGAGAAACTCAGTATCGAGAAGGGAAAGAAAGTGAGAATAACACATTGGTAAAGAAAACTGCTGTCTGCCCAGTGCCTCCTGCCTTCATTACCATCCTTCCAAATAAATCTCCCCACTCCTCCGGAGCTGGCGAATAAAAAAATCAGCCTGCAAGATAGATGTGTGTGCTCCTCCTGATGAGCGTCCCCATCCATCCACGGCCCGCCCATGTGCCAGCGTGAAGACGGGCCGGAGGAGAATTAAAGACTCGAGTAAATCCACAGCTTAATCAAGGAGGCTTTTTTCTTCCCACCACACAGCTTTCATCTCTGTCGTGTGTGATTTTTCTCCCCATCTCCTTCATTCTGCAGCCAAGATGCTGATGGCTGATGGGACAGTAACTGATCGCATGCCTAACCTTCCAGGGCAACCAATTGGTTTCAAATAGATGGCAGGCTGGCTTTTGATAAGTTTCATTTTGGCCAGGCCTGTTAGTTCAAGAATTACCCGCATTCACACAGCAGAAACCCTGTGTGAATGCTAAGGTTTTATAAAATGCACTAGAGGCCCGGTGCATGAATTCATGCACCAGTGGGGTCCCTCTGCCTGGCCTGAGGGATCAGGCTGAAACCGGCTCTCCAACATCCCCAGAGGGGTCCCAGATTATGAGAGGGTGCAGACCAGGCCGAAGGATCCCACGGGAGCATGACCAGGCCCGGGGAGGGTCATGGGAGGTTGGCCAGCCAGGGAAGGGACTGTGGAAAGGCTCCAGAGTGTGTCCAGCCTGTCTTGCTCAGTTCCAATTGGCTGGACCCCAGCAGCAAGCTAACCTACCAGTAAGCATCTGCCCCTGGTGGTCAGAGCACATCATAGCGAGCACTTGAACAGCCTTAGCATGTCATTAGCATATTATGCTTTGATTGGTTGAACGGCTGACCTTTTGACCAGACACTTAGCATATTAGGCTTTTATTATATAGTATGTCCATTTTCAATGTTTTTGATTTTTATCTTTGTTGTTGGATGGACTGGGGTGATACAGGTTAACAAAATCACACAGGTTTCAGGTGCACAATTCTACAACCCATCCTCCATACACTATATTGTGTATTCACCACCTCAAGTCTCTGTCCATCACCATTTTAATGTGTTGTGTTTTTTTTTTTAATTTCAAATTAAGAGTCTCTTTCAATGGGTAATCCCAGGGTGTGGACTTGGCCTCTGATTGGGATGAAATTACAGTGGAAATGTGAAGCATATTTATCTCAAGCAGCTGGATGGTTTTCTTCATTTTTATCTCAGTACAAATAACCCTACTCTAGAAGGTAATGGTTTTTCTTGTTTGAGGTTGGATGGCATATCGTAAGATCCCTAAGAAATCATTTTTTTCTGACTTCCCACACCTACTGGGATCTGTCCTAAGATATCCATACCCCCTGCCTGGGCACATCTAAGTCTTGGGGGTGAGTCTGTCTCTCAAGAGAGTATGTTCCATTTTTGACTTTTCTAATTATAAGTTCTTCATTCTTTAGACTTCACTTCCTGCTACTAATTTATTGCTTTCAAATAAGTTAATACCCTTTTCCATATGACTGTTTTGCAAGCCTTTTGCCTAAGATGTCATGGCTCACCAGAGGTTTCTTTTCTCTGTGGTAAATGGCCTTGGGTTCCAGACCTTCATCACCCCTTGTTTCTGCCACTCTCTCCCCCCTGGCAGACCTTGCTTGTCACAGTCCCCACTTTTACTGACCTGGACTCAGAACCCCTCTCCCCAAGACTCTCCACTCAGCCACTGGTCCATGTGAAACCCATTTACCACCCTTGGGATTTTGGTTTCTATATGAGCAAGCTCAGCAAAGATGAAGATGAGGAATGGAGTTAAGCTCTTTAGCAATTTGAACATGCTTCAGTTGGGGTACTGGTCCAAGGTTGATGTCAGTGTTCCGTCTACTTCAAATTAAATAAAAAAATCCTATAGGATGCCAACTCTGACCTTGATAATGCATATTTCATTCAAAAGAACTGTTTCTGAGCAGATCTTTGGAACCAAAATACTCCTATTTGGCAAGATTCTCAGTGCTAGATTGTTAAGAGAATAGGCGATAAAAGTGAATGATTGAATGCCATCCGTAAATATTATTTCAGAACGGTGTTCTGGCTTAGTTTCTGAAATGATTAACTAGTTTTTTATTCAAGTTCATATATTTCAGGGCTTATGTCAGACACCTGGAATCTAGAATAGCCTCGTATGATAGCAATACTAGTATATCCCTCTAGTTCATGGCAGGTTTCATTTAGGAAGGCTATTTCCTTGTTAAAGGACTTACAGAAGATTTTAGAAGAAAATCTGGTTAGAAGCTCAGTTTCCTTTTACACCCTCGGCATCTTCTGCTGAGAGATCCACAGAAATGTTCTCTCTTGGTTACATGAGACCATGACCATGTCCTGCCTAACTTCAGAGAGGCCTCCACAAATATATACTTCTCCATCTCTCAACACAAGGAAACCGCTGAGACTTATGAATGAATAAGTGCAATTTTGTGGCTCTTTACATGCAAGTTTTTGTAAAGAAGTTAGGCCTGCAAATACAGTGCCCATCTGAGTTCAATAAGCAGTAAACTCGTTGGGTCTGATTATTTTTTTAATAATTAAACTGCTTTCAAACAATGACAGAGCCCTTAATTTCTCTCCACTTGACCTATATAGTCTGCATACGCTGGGTGCACAGACTAAATACACACCAAATATCTCTGCTTGCTGCTGGAATTCAGCGTAATAACAGTTTGCTTAGAATCACAACCCAGATGCCTTTGTTTAATAAGAATAGAAAAACTGTTATTTAAATGCATCTTTTGGTGAAAATATATGTATTTTAAGATGAACACTAGGAAGATGGTTGGATGGATAAAAGAAGGCCTTGGTGGTGAAACGAAGAATCCTGTTGACTTAGAAAAGCTAGGTACCATGTAAACCTTGGAAAAGGGCTTGGTATTGGAGGGACGATGACTGAGATATATTTACTTTGAAATGACTGTATAATAGTTAAGTAAACATGTCTTAAGAAGCTGCAGTTCTGGTAAAAAAAAAAAAAAAAAAGTCAGGACCAAAACAATAAATTTAGGTATGAATCAGATGTAGATTATATCTGAGTCATTGACAGGATTAGTTCACTAAAGTGAACAAAGAGTCTGGGAATTTCGCACAGGAGAAGAGAAGGCAAGGGAACAGGAGGTGGAGTAAGAACAGGAAAATTTTTAACTGTCACAGCAAGAAAGGAAGAGAGAGTTCAAAGAGGTATTGGCCGTCAGCTCCGAATGCTGCCTAGGAGGGGATGTGAAATGGTTAGAACAGTTCAGTTAAACAGAGGGAGTGTCCTCTCACTGTTTCTTCCAATTGCCCCAGCTTTCATTTGCTAACAAATATTCTCGCTGAGTGTTGTAATGTGCAGTCCTTCATGGTCATTCCCACCCGGTCTCCATCAGTCGGACATGAACTTAGAAGTACTTCTGTTGAGTAAATGTGGCGGGTTGCATCTTGTCTCTCTCCTGATAGTGTCTTTCAGCTACTTAACTAAGGGATAGGATGCACTTCCGGTTATGGAATGAAGTCTATTCTTGTGTAACACTAACTTGACTGGATAGCTGTCAAGTTCAGGACTTTGGGGTCATTGATATACCACCAGCAACTGAGCTAATTCGTCTAGACATTTGGTCCAAGTTCCATTGTATATTGTCAGATTGACAACACTGGAGTAGAGAAAGAGGTTATTTCATTTGCCTAAATAAACGTGTAGGCGGAAAGAGTATAGTTTCTTTTTCCAGTTGATTGCTACCAAAGAGAAGAACGACAAGGCAAACTTGTGAGTCATGG